TTTAGAATATTAGATATTATTTTTTTAATTTCAAAGCTATGTTTGCTTCAGACTTTAAGATAAAGTTAGAGAAATTTTGCAAGTTAATAAGTAATTTTTTCTATTAGATATTATTTTTTATTTAGTTCTTTTATAATAAAACTTAAATAAAAATTTTTTTTAATAATTTGTAAACTATAATTAATAAATTTTTTCTTTCTCTTTTCTTAGTTTAGATTCTTCTAATATACTAATTATAATTTTATTCTTCTTAAAAATCGAATTGAGTATTTTCTAATTTCTAGTTTTTTTCAATTTGTAATTTAATTTATTTATAGAAACTATATAGTTTTTTGTCAATTTGTTTTAATTATTTTTATTTTTTTTATTTTTTTTTTATTTTTTAAAAGCTTGATAATGATATATAACAGATTTTTGTTATTTTTGTTTATAGTTTAAGTGGTTATTTAAATAGTTATTTAGATCATTATTATTAAGTAGATTTTTATATTATATTAGAAATAAATTATATTCTATTATACATTTATTTTTATTAATAAATAATTATTAGTACTAGATATATCATAACTCTTTCTGATGATCCTTTATACTAAAAATTTCTAACTTATTTTTTTTAAAAATATGTAATAAACTTTGTAAAAATTTGAGAGCAATAATACAGAGAAGCATAAGATAGTATCTGTTATTTAGAGATAGTTCTTATACACTATCTATTAACAGGTTTAGAATTTATTACTTACTGCAATATTATAGTAACACTTGCTATTTAGAAGTAGTTCTTATATGCTACTTGCTAATAAGCTTAGAGTTTATTACTTACTTACAGAAGATAAGTACTAGTTACACTTTAGATAAATATAAGTAAATAGTAGATTTTAGAAAATATATACTTTCTTTAAATTTTTTAGTGCTATTATCACTTTTCTTCTAGGCTTTTTGAATTTCTTTATATTGAAAAATAAAAAAGTAGAAGATTTGGTAAACTCTGTTAATATGCAACTTAGATAAGACAACAAATATATATATCACTATTACATAGATGATCTAATTAGAATTTAACTTTTAAAGAAGTTTATTACTAGAGATATGTATTTTTATTTTTGCATAGCATAATATTTTTATATTTTGTCTTACTCTTTTTTTCTTTATATTAAAAAGAGTATCTGTTTTTTTTCTTTTCCTTTTACTTTATTTACTTATAAGAATTTTTTAATCTAGTAGTAGATTTTTCTCTTATAAGCTTAGTTTATATAATTAGCTATATTTTATTATATATAATAATTTTTATTTTTAACTTGAACTAGGTATTAATAGTTTGTAATTTATTTTGATTAGTTTAGAAGCAACCTAAGACTTTGATAAGATATAAAAGAACCTATTATTAATCTAAAAAAACTATTCTACTTAGATATGACGTCTTTTAGAGAGATAAATACTTTTTGTAATAGATCATATCTGAGTGGTATAAGGCAAGCTAAGTGAATCTGAGATTGCAAAGATAAGATATATTAGTAGTTTAGAATATTAGCTTTTTTTCTTATTTTTGTATTATGATTTTTTTATAAAATTGTTCACTAATAAACTAAAGATAAGATTATCTAAGTTAAAAAAAAAAAAAAAGAAGCTATTATTATAGAAAAGCTAAATTCTTTACTTATCTATAAATAGGAAGTTAAATCAAAAACCAGAAACTAAATAAGATCTTCTTAAGGCTTAAATACAGAAATTAAACTCAAAAAAAAAAAACTTCATATACAGAAGCTAATGAGTTTAAGCCTATTAGCAGAAGCTAAAGCTCTTCTAGAGTCAGTATCTAAAACAAACAAAGCTATCTGCTAGTTTACAGAAATTTTTTAGTTAAATTTTTTTGAAAAACTATAGAAATTTTAGTGTAAAGTTATATCAGAATATAAAAAAAGAAACAATATAAATAATAGAAAAAAAAGAAAGAAACTGAAACATAAAGACCAAGTTAAGCAGAAAAAGTACTAAGCAGAAAAAAAAACCAAGACCTTTTAGAGAAAGAACCTAATGAATCAACCAAAGCTAAAAAAAAAAAAATTCAAAAAGAAATAAAAAATAGAATTAATAAATAAATTGCAAAAAGTAAAGAAAGTTAGCTAAGTTTTAAAAATAACTAAATATTTTTAATATAGATATATAGTAGCTTTTTGTAAATCTTTAGAATATAACTTTGCTTAAGCAATCTATTCTTTGGGAAGGAAAATTTACTATTGTAGCAGATTACATCTGAGTATTTTAGACAGTCAAATAAGTCTTAAATTATATAAAGAAGACAATTTATAATTAAATTTTATATATTTTTTCTTAATAAATAATAGACAAGATCATCTAAATATAAAAAATAATAATAATAATAATGTTTTTAATAAATAAAAAGTAAAATTACTCAAGTTGAAAAAAAAATACTTGTTACTAGCAATAACAATTCTGTATATAATCTAAAATTAAAACAATTATAATAATATAAATATATTCTAATTTATTAACTTTAGAATTAAAATCTAGTTAAAGTTAGAATTAAAATTAGTAAAAATATAGTTAAACTATACAAACTTAATAAATCAATTTTTATAATATAAAATTTTCAAAAATAATCTGGTAATTCAGCTTTTATTTTTAAAAAATTTTATATATAAAAAAAATTTTTTGCAAATTTTTTAAAAAAACTAGATATAGTAATAAATATACTAAAAATTTTTTTGTAAATTTTGACCCGGTCGGGTTATAAAAACCGATTGATTAAATTTGTATAACCTTATAGTAATATTTTACAAAGAATTTTTTTGTTGAAACACAAAGTGGTTTCATATGCATAATTTTTAGTTATCGGCGATTTTTTGAAAAACGGCTTCGTTTACGTTACACAATCAAGTGTAATGTTACATTTGATCTTGCATTCTCATTGGTACGATTGGTCCGGGAATATCACCGCCGGTTATTATTTAAAATTTTTATCTAATTATAAAAAATATTAAATAAGTTAGCAGGCAAATTTGCCTGCTCGCAAATTAAGGGATAGTTAAAATTAGAGCAAAAAAAAAAAAAAATAAGGAATTTTTTAATTAGAACACTAAAAGCAGTTACATATGCAAAATTTTGAACCACGTATTGATAGTTTTTTTTAGAAAAAAGCAGCAATTGTAACAATTTTTATATTACATCTAATCTTTTATTTTGATTGGCTATATTACTCTAGTGCCATGGATGCCATGCGCTATAAATTAATTCTCATTAAAATATTTCATTCCAATGTTTTAAAATTATCTAACTATGATATATATTTTTATATATATAGCCAAGATTTAGTTAAATCAACTAAATTAATCTTTAAAAAATCAACTAACTTGGCCAATTTTATCGGCTAAAGCCACCATTTAACCTGGGTCAAAAATGGAATTTCCTTAATTTTAATACAGAGTTTAAAAATAGTTTTTATATGTACATAGGACGTTGTCCCATCGACTTTGCATGTCCCGGACAATGCTTTAGGACCAAGAAATTGTGATAACGTAAAATCTCATTGGTCAGTCAAATTTGATTTACCTACGTTTCGGACATCATGTCCCTGTCTCATGTCCCGTTCCATGCTATATTTACAAATTATTATTATTAACTTCTATTATTTGGTTTTCTAAAAATAAAATAATGGTTACTAAACTTATAAACTTAACATATCAGATATCTTGATATCAATATTAAGGTGTTGCCTTAACACTGTAACATTAAAATCTTGCACATGTAAAATTATCTCGGTTCTGATATTCGGCTGTTTACGTTCAATGTTGCACATTTTATAGGAAATTTAATTGGTTATGATTAAAATTGAACATATCGATATTTTTTTTTGGTAATAAAAAAAATTCAGTTAATATTATTATTACAAGGAATTTGTAATAACGAAAATTGAATTGTTGCTAAACGGGTTACTCTACACTCTACACACTTAACCTAAATTTCTAAAGAATTCTTTGTACTCGAAATTTTTACATATATCTGTACAGTAATTACGTATCATGAATTTGTTGTAAAATAATAATAATAATAATAATAAATAAATAAAATATCTTGCTTAAAAATATACTATCGCTATTATAAAAATGCATAATTATTGAAATTTAAATAAAAATATTAATTTTTGTTATAATACGAAAAAAAAAAAAAAGATTTTGAAACCGTTATCACGAGTTTATATTTTATCACCAATAAATTACCGCATTTTATATCCTAATTACATTAAAATACCATTTTTTCTTTTTTTCATATTGTTTTTTTGTAGAATTTATTGATAAATCATCCTTAAACAATTCATTTGATGATTTTCGGGAGTTGATTTTTGACGTTGATCTCTTCCTCGATGATGCTAAGTTTCGTTCGGATCGTGTAGATCGAGAACCAAAAGAAGCTAAATCTATAGAAGATATAAGTGATCCAAATTGCGATAGTCTTTTTCGGGCTCGGTGTTTAGAAGATTTGCTCTTATCTAGAGTAGAAAATTAGATCCGTGAGAATATATGATGGTTGTAAGTTTTAAGCAATTATAAAAAAAACAAATAAATAAATAAATATTGAAATAAATAATGTATATTATATGTGGAAAATCCAATGCATATAAACGAATTGATTTTATTTAAAATACATAATAAAATGATGAATTTGCCCAACCCCAAAATGTTAAGGATTTGGGTGTGGATTAATCAAGATATAAAAATGGTAAAATAAAAAGTTTGAATAGCTAATATATTATAAGGTATTAATAATATTTAAAATTGAAGATATATATTTAGGGCTTCCACATTAAATTATAAAACCTCTATAACAATGGTTTCTTTAATGCAACGGGAAGAATATGAAACTGAACATAAATATATCCACCCATATAGTCCATCATTCCTACACTACTATCCAAATACAATAATGAGAATAACATATATGCAATTAAATAAATTTGATAAAGCTTAAAAAAAAAAAAAGGAAAGCTATGGAAGGATTAAATTACCGTTGGGATCTTCAATGCTTTCTTTTTCTGCAACCCCTACGTTTTGACTTTTCCTGTACACAGGCCTTTTACTGGGCAATGTTTTACTCCTTCCTAGAGATGTAGATCCTTGGCGACCTAATATTTTAGAATCGTATGATGGTCGTCGTTCCGGCAACAATACATCATCATCGGTCGAAGGTTCGATGCTTAAACTAGATCGCCGTAAAGGTAATTGTGTGACAGGCACATTATTAAGGTCGTGCGGCTCTAGAAGTGATGTCGTATCAGCATCAGGTGTATCTCGTATTTCTCGCTCGTTTACAGCATCAGTATTTGGTAAAGTCATCAAAAAATAATTTTGATAATCGATCAGAAACTCTACAACTTCTTGTGATAGCTTATATTGTTCCGGTTCCATATCGTGATCTGGATGAGATAAAATACCGGGTTGAAAAATCGAGGCCAAGTTCTTTGATGGCATCAAGTTTTGTGAAGATTTGGATGAAAAAACTGCGAGTAAGTCGAGAATGTAGAGAAGTAGATGTTGATTTTCTTTAGGGAGTGATTGAATCAATTTTTGGTAGTTTTCTACTAGAGCACCCGCATCTTTATGACTAACTGAAAAAGGAAAAAAAAAAAATTTAATAATTTAATTTAAAAATATATGATAGATATCTTAAAAATAAGATCAGTGTAATTATGGACATTATAAGAACTTTATTTACCATGTATGGCCCGAAATTTATCATACCAACTAAGTGGAATAACTTTATCTGGTAAATGGTTTAAGTATCTTCGTAATACATTTGCAGCATCATGTACAGAATAGCCAACCCAGGTTAAAGTTTTTCCATAAACAGGTGGAGAATCAAAAATCGTTTGTAGTTCCTTTATTCTTTTGGCTGATCCACTTAGACGGAATATACCTTCAGTTGTCGTCGCTAAATTTAAAAATAATAATAAATGTGTGAGATCAAACCGATATACAAACCAAAAATTTCGAAATACCAAAAGTATCTACCCCGGCATGGTTTTTAGGATTTAATTTCCAAATCCTAATTCCTAGCGAAGCAATATGCCTCCAATGAAAATTTGATCCAATAAAAAAAATATAAATCGTGAGAAATAATAAATACCTTGTTCTTTTAAAAACATCCCACATTTTGCGACGATTGTCGGTATGTATCCGTATATATATTGCTTCCCGTCCGGGCCGGCCATGCATATTGGTACTCTCGCATATCCCATTCCTTCGGCGAGATCAACACCAAAAATTCCACTAGAACCTAATATTTTGTTTAATATAATAATTGATCAATAAGAAAAAAAGTGATAATTCTCTTCAATCCTTTACAAATTCAACCAGAAATCAAACTTTAAAGAACGTAATAATTTAACGGTGAGTGGTGGTTTATCATCAAAACATAAGAAATTACCTTTCCCCTTCCGTTCTCCTTCTCTTTTTGCGCTTTTTGCTGCGAATTGTTTCCACCATGCCTTCAAATTCGCCTTAGTTGGTGTTGATGACATCTCAAGGGAATTGTGATGAGGCATAACTGGGAAATTTTATGCGAAAAGGGATAACTTCTAAAGTTTTGTCTACTTACAAACAAGTTAAGTATAAAACTAAAAGCAATACCAAGCACTTGATTAGTCACCTTAATATAATATAAACAAAAAAAGCTTTGTGTTTTCGTATAAAAAAAA